TAAAGATTTTATTTATTTATTTGACAGAGAGAGAGAGACAGCGAGAGCAGGAACACAAGCAGGGGGAGTGGGAGAGGGAGAAGCAGGCTTCCCGCCAAGGAGGGAGCCTGATGTGGGGCTCGATCCCAGGACCCCGGGATCATGACCTGAGCCGAAGGCAGACGCTTAACGACTGAGCCACCCAGGCGCCCTAATTTTCTTTTTTTTAAAAGATTTTATTTATTTATTTGACAGAGAGAGAGACAAGGAGAGAGGGAACACAAGCAGGGGGAGCAGCAGAGGGAGAAACAGGCCTCCCGTGGAGTGGGGAGCCCGATGCGGGGCTCGATCCCAGGACCCTGGGACCATGACCTGAGCCGAAGGCAGACGTTTAACGACTGAGCCACCCAGGCGCCACCAAAATTTTGTCTAATTTTCTAAGCAATGTAATTCACCACTGTATTAGACTGCTTTGGCTGTGATAACAAAATACCACAGAGTGGGTGTTTGAAAAAACAGAAATTCATTTTCTCACAGTTCCAGAGGCTAGAAGTCCACAATCAAGTTTCCAGCTGATTTGGTTTCTGGTCAGGACTCTTCCTGGCTTGCAGACATCTAGCTGCCTTCTCACCATGTTCTCGCAAGGCATTTCCGCAGTTTGTCTACACAGAGAAAGAGCTCTCTGGTGTCTCTTCCAATAAGGACACTGAACTCACTGGGATCAGAGCCCCACCCTTAGGACCTCATTTAACTTTAATTACTTCCTTAGAGGTCCCACCTCCAAATATAGCTGAGTGTTAGGATGTTCTACTTGTGAATCTGAGGGGACACATTCAGTCCATAATATTCCACTCCTATCCCCCCCCAAATTCATGACCTTTGTGCATGCAAAATACATTCCATTCCAACAACCCTCAAAGTCTTAGCTCATCCCAGCATCAACTCTAAAGTCTATATAGTCCAAGTCTCATCTAAATCATATATGGGTAAGACTTCAGGTGGAATTTACCCAGAGGCAAAATTTCTCTCCAGCTATGAACCTGTAAAATTAGAGAAGTTACTCACTTCCAAAATACAGTGGTTGGACAGATGTAGGATAGACATTCCCATTCCATGAGAGAGAAATTAGGAGGAAGAAAGTGGTATGGGTCCCTCAAAAACTCAAAACCTAGCGAAGCAAATTCCATTAGATCTTAAGACTTAAGAATAATCATCTTTGGTTACTTATCTTTGGTTATGTCCGGCTGCCAGGCATTGTAGGTCACATTGTAGGTGGGAATCATAAACACTCTTGCAACTTTACATTCAAACCAGCAATTTTACATTCTGCATTCCAGTAAGCTCCACCAAGGGTATTTTTGCCTGCATTTATAGCTTTTGTTACTCTAGCATGCAGAACAGTATTTGCCACATAGTAGGCATTTTATAAACATCCGGATGAATGAATGAATAATCCCTTTAACTGGAAGGCACTCTAAGCCTTGTGTAACCGTGGGGAGTGAGTTCCGCACTGGGAGCTCAGTTGGGCTGCAATACTGAACAGAACCACTTCCTTTTCTCAGTTTTGTTTTTTTGTTTTTTAAGATTTAAAAAAAATTTTTAAGTGCAACCTATCCCCCAGCCACACCAAGATCAAGTGACCGAGCCAGCCAGGGGCCCCTCAGAGCTTTTGATTCAAGGTATTTTTCATCTTCAGGGGAAGAAAAGCTTGCCGCGTCTTTGACTCCTCCCACCGCGGGAGAGCCACGCTTCTCTATTAGCTCCGCCGCTTGTTGACCCCCATCAGCCTTGTGCCCCGTTTCCACCCACAGGAATCATACCAAGAGCTTTATGATTCTGTTTGCCCACTCTCTGACCAATGCCTTTTTCAGCGGTTCTCTAAAACCTAGCCTGGCCGCAAATGCCGCTTTCTCCACAAAGCCCCCTCCAGCCAGCATTCCCAGGATACTAGCCTGTTCCTCTCCAACTGTTGCTCAGGCTCGGCTCGAACTCCCTTCCGGTGAACTTCTACGCGGGCCGCGCCCACTTAGCTTCTCCCTATTCTTTAAGTGAAAGCGCTTTAAACCAGACCATCTCGGCCGGTCCTGAGGAGAGATCTGGGCAGGCCTGAGTTTCTGACACGCTAAGCTGTATATGCACCGCCCCTGGTGAATGTTACAAATTCGGGGCCCAATGGCTAAAGTGGCCTGGAAATAAAGTGAAATAAAGCGCTTTCAATAGCTTCTCACCGTCTAGCGCCTTCCCGCGAAAGGCGCAAAGAGAGAGGACGCTCGCCACAGGGCAGGAAGTGAGGGAAACCGCTGCTCCTGGCGAACAGCCTGGAGCCGGCGCTGCAATATGACGTCACAGAGGCCGAGCCTCGCGCCAGATTCCGGGTCTCTGGAACAACGCACGTTGGCCCTCGTCGGCCGCCGTCCTCGCAGTCGCTGAGGTGGGGCTCGGGGGCGGTAGACACTGAAGCAAAGTGCTTGGGGAAGTGGTACGATGATTTGTCTCCAGAGGTGAAGATCGACGTTATCGGCAGGTCATTGTCGGTTCTGGGAGTGTTTGGGGGCCAGGGAGAGCGCGTTGGGTTTTGCGGTGTTTTTGTTTTTGTTTTGTCCTGGAGCGCGTGGGGGTAAATGTTGGGGGAAGCGAATGGGAAATCTCACTAGGGGTTGTGTTGAAGGATCACTTGGGAGTTCCCTGTGGAGGGGGAGCTTGTGAGGTTTCGTGCTGGAACGAGAACCTGGGGAGAGTAGCGGTATGGGGCGTCTGGTTGGGGGAAGCAGGAGTCGTGTCGGCGTTGTCGGTGTTGGGGACAGCGTTTGCGGAGTTCCGTTGTTGATGCTTATCACATCCTTTTAAAGATGGGGTTTCTGGCCTCTTGCGCCCATGTTTACTGTATATTCTTTTTTAAAATATTTATTTATTTATTTTTATTTATTTGAGAGAGAGAGCACAAGAGGGGGTAGGGTCAGAGGAAGAAGCAGACTCCCTGCGGAGCAAGGAGCCCGATGCGGGACTCGATCCCAAGACTGCGGGATCATGAGCTGAGCTGAAGGCAGTCGTTTAACCAACTGAGCCACCCAGGCGCCCTGTTTACTGTATATTCTTGCAGAAAATATGTTTTCATTTTTATTTCCGGCCCATGTAATGACATGCTCAAACTCCTAAATAGTCCAGAAAATAACTCTTGTTAAATTTTAGTGTATTCCAATTTTGATGTTGGGATCAGTTGTGTAGGTACTGCTATAATTTTACACATTTTGAATCTGATATCCTGTTACTCTTTGGAAGTTTTCATCTTTCTTTTCTTTTTTTTAAACTATCGCAGTTATGTTCTGTTGCGCAGGTGCTTTAATTTGGGTAAAACTGATGTGGGTATAGGTCCAACACTTTCAGGAACATTTGATGGGTTTCCTTTAACACAAGTGTTTTGTTAACTTGACCAGCTGTGGTGGTGATTTTCCACATGTGTTTTAGACATATCTGTTTATGTTTATTCCTAAATAGTTTATACTGTTGTAATCGTAAATGGTGTGGGTTTTTTCAGTATGACCCCACTTTTTGTTTCTTCTAATTTTATATAATGCACAAAAACAAAAATTTAAATTTATTTTGTCCTCTCAGTCTACTAATATTACTGCCACTAGCTTATACATTGATTCTTTTATATTTTCTAGTTGAGTATTTTCGTTATCTGCAAATAATTTTGGCCAGGTGGCAAGTGTATGAACTGTGGAGTAAGAAGAACCTGCTTCTGCCTCTGACTTGGGTAGGTTAATGTCTGAGTTTCTTTATTGGTGAAAAAAGCTGTCGTAATTCCTACTTCATAGAGTTATGAAGGTTAAATTAGCAAATATTCTTTAAGTACGAAGTGTAGTGCCTGGCACCTAGTATAGTCGGAAAAAATGGTAACTGTGGTTTATCAAATTTTTATTCCTCATTCTCAAAGATTTTCCCCCCAGCTTTATTGAGATATAATTGACATATAACATTCTGTAAGTTTAACGTGTACAATGTGTTGATATAATACACTTATATATTGAAAATAATTTCTACCGTAGGTTAGCTAATACCTGCATCATGTCACATAATTACCATTTCTTTTATGTGGTGAAAACATTTAAGATCTCTTAGGTTTCAGTTATATAATACAGTCTTAACAGTAATCACCATGCTGTACAATGCAGCCCCTCAAATAACTTTAAAATTACTTTCATTTATATTTTTTTCTCTCTCTTTATTTAATATTTGATTTATAGATTACTAGATTTCCCAGTGTCTTATATTCCTGGAAGAAACCATACTTGTCCATAGTGATTTGTTCTTTAAATATGTGGCTGGGGGGCGCCTGGGTGGCTCAGTCGTTAAGCGTCTGCCTTTGGCTCAGGTCATGATCCCAGGGTCCTGGGATGGAGCCCAGCATTGGGCTCCCTGCTCCGTGGGAAGCCTGCTTCTCCCTCTCCCACTCCCCCTGCTTGTGTTCCCTCTCTCACTGTGTCTCTCTCTGTCAAATAAATAAATAAAATCTTTAAAAAAAAAAAAAAATAAATAAATATGTGGCTGCGTTCCATTTGCTAATATTTTATTTAATAGTTTTGCATCTAGAAATAAAAAGATGTCTTGGATTTGCTTCAGAATAATCCTGTGGTGAAGAGAGATGAGTGGTGATGTAGATAATACAAAATTAGGTTTAAGCTGATAATTACTGAAGGCACATAATGGATATGAGGAGTTTGATTATACTTCTCTTTCTTTTCTCTCCTCTCCTCTCTTCTCCTCCCCTCTTCTCTCCTCTCCACACGTGGGCAGGGACAGAGGGAGAGAGAATCTCAAACAGGCTCCACACCCAGTAAGGAGCCTGATGCGGGGCTCAGTCCCATGACCCTGAGATCATGACCTGAGCCAAAATCAAGAGTTGGATGCTTAACCGACTGAGCCACTCAGGTGCCCCTCCTCTTTCTTTGTACATAGGGTTTTATTATACTGTTTCTTCTTCTTTGGCTTGAACCTTTTCATAATAAAATTTAAAAATTTTTGCTTCTACATTTATAAGTGAAACTGATCTGTACTTTAAGAGTATTTTTCAAGTATAACACTAAAAATGAAAAAAATAGGATATTATAGCACCCTAGGAGCCCCATCTCATCCTAATCTCCTCCCTTCTCTCCAGAGGTAATTATTACCCTACAAACATCAAATTTGCCTGGCTGTTAACTTTATACAGATGGAGGGGCGCCTGGGTGGCTTCAGTCGGTTAAGCATCCAAGTCTTGATTTCAGCCTAGGTCATGATCTCAGGGTCGTGGGATTGAGCCCAGCATCGTTGGGCTCCCTGCCTGCTTCTCCCTCTCCTTCTGCGGCTCCCGCTGCTTGTGCTCGCTCTCTGTCTTTCTCAAATAAATAAAATCTTTAAAAAAACCAACTTTATACAAATGGAATCATAGGGTACATGTCCTTTTGTATCTGGTTTCTTTTGCTGAATATTTTGTTGTGAAATTCATCTAATTTGTTGCATTTAGCAGTAGTTCATTTTTTTTTTTCATTGCTGTATGGTATTCTTTGGTGTGATTATACCCCATTTTATTTATGCATTCCACTATTAATACACATTTTGGTTGTTACTGGCTTGTGTCTGTTATAAAGAATGCTGATACGAACATTTTTGTACATGCATTTTGATGCATGATATACTTAGTAGAATTCCTGAATTGTGGGGTATGCTACATACAAGGAGAAATGACAAATGCCCAGTCATAATGGGAGGTTCTTAGCATACGTCACTCAGTAACAGAGAACAAGGAGACGAAAAGCTAGAAGGCTATAGTTTAACAGTGGTCAGCAAAGTTTCTGTAAAGAGCAATAAGAGAGTAAATATTTTAGGCTCTGCAGGCCAGATAGTCCTGCACCTGCTGAACTCTGCCATTGTAAGATGAAAGTAGCCTAGAGAATACATAAACAAATGGGTATGGCTGTGTTCCAGGAAAACATTATTTACAAAAACAGTTCACCAACCCACTATACTGCCAACCCCTGAACAATTAGAATAACATGATTAACAAACTTGACCAGTGTAAAACACTCCCCCCAATGATTTTTCTCAAATGCACATAGAACAATTATAAAAATTTAGCATATGGAAAAAAAATTAGCATATGGTGGGCCATAAAGCCAGTCTAAACAAATTTCAAAGGATTGAAATCATACAGAATACTTTCTCTGGCTACAGTGGAATTAAACTTATAAAGCAATATCAAAATGATAACTAGAAAATCTCCCATTTTTGGTAAGCATACCATACACGTCTAAATAATCTATGATTCAGAAAAAATTACAGTGGAAATGTTTTGAATTGCATTTTAATAATCCTACATCTCAACTTTTGTTTAATTCAACTAAAGCAGTCAGTGGAGGGAATTTAGATATGTATTAGAAATGCATATATTGGAGGGACACCTGGGTGGCTCAGTGGTTTATACACACACAATGGAATATTATTCAGCCATAAGAAAGGAGGAAACCTTGCCATTTGCACCAACATGGATGGACCTTGAGGGCATTATACCAAGTGAAATAAATCAGAGAAAGACAAATACTGTATGATCTCACTTATGTATAGGGTATCTTAAAAAATGAAACAAAACGAAAAAACCGAGTTCATAGATACAGTGAACAGTTTGGTGGTTACTAGAGGCTGAGGTTTGGGGGTAGGTGAAATGGGTGAAAGGGGTCAAAAGACATAAACTTCCAGTTATAGAATAAATAAGTCATAGGGATGTAATGTACAGAATGGTGACTATAATAATACCATATTGCATATTTGAAATTTTATAACTGGTGGCAAATGTTAACTAGACTTATTACAGTGACCATTTCATAATGTATACAGATACTGAATTGTTACGTTGTACACCTGAAACTAATATATGTCAGTTATACCAAAAATAATAATACCAACAGATAGTATTTATATATGTAAAGGAATGTTATCATTTTTCATGTGTCATTTTCATGTCAGTTTCAACCACTGACTAAATTTTTTTAGTACAGTTGACACACAATGTTACGTTAGTTTAAGTTGTGCAACTTAGTGACTTGAGCAGTTTTGTACATTACTATGTTCATCATGACTAACTCTTATTTTTGAGTCTTGTCCATTTCAATTACTTGAGTTTTCTGGGTGTACAGTAATACTGTGCAAATGTTGTTAATTTCTTTTCTTTCATATTGATCACTGCTATTTGATTCTTCTCTCTAACGACATGATAAGACCAGTGATGAATGAGAATGGTGGTATTTACGCCTTTCCATCCTTCATAGGAATGCTTCCAGCATCTCACTGGCTCTCCATTGGGCATGTAAAGTGATTTTACTTGCTTTGCTTTGCTTTTGTTTTGCTTTAGATGTTTTTCCTTTTTTCCTCTTATCTTTTGGAAAGAAAGACAGTGTGACTTCCAACTAACATGTCAACTACAAGTCCCAACTCCATTCCTTCCTCTTCATCCCTGGAAGTAACCTCTAACTTGAAATTTTACATTATAATAATTTTTGGACTTTAAGTGTGTATCTCCAAACTATATGTTCTATTTCTATGTGCATTTAAGAAGTTTATGCAAATGGTGTTACACTTGATGTATCCTTTTACAAGAGATTTATAGGATTTTATTTTGTTCTTGTTTTATCAGTAAGCTGTTTTTTTCTCCCAACACTATTGACATCACATGTGTGGGAGTTTGTCCCCACACCAGCCAGTTCTCCCAACTCCCTGGACAACAACTGGGTGTCCTAAAATTCAACTCAGTTTTGATGCTAACTACCAGGAATTCATGCAGATCCCACAGATTGAGGGCTCACTTTCACAAGGTTGACCACACTTCAGATACATGTCACTATTCCCAGGTTGCCCCTTGTATTTCTTCTTTTTTTTTTTTTTTTAAAAGTTTTATTTATTTATTTGAGAGAGAGAGAATGAGAGACAGAGAGCATGAGAGGGAGGAGGGTCAGAGGGAGAAGCAGACTCCCCGCCGAGCAGGGAGCCCGATGCGGGACTCGATCCCGGGACTCCAGGATCATGACCCGAGCCGAAGGCAGTCGCTCAACCAACTGAGCCACCCAGGCGCCCCGCCCCTTGTATTTCTGACCAGCTGGCTATAAATCAGGGGTTTCGGGGGCACCTGGGTGGCTCAGTTGGTTGGGTGTTTGACTCTTGATTTTGGCTCAGGTCATGATCTCAGGGTTGTGAGATCACCCTGCACTGGGCTCTGCCATCAGTGGAGGGAATTTAGACATGAATTTAGACTCCCAGCTGGGAGTCTGCTTGAGATTCTCTCTCTTCCTCTTCCTTTGCCCCTCCCCCTGTTCTCTCTCTCAAATAAATAAATCTTTTTAAAAAATAAATCAGAGGTTTCTACACCCCGCCCCCCCAAGTTCAATAATTTGTTAGAACAGCTCACAGAACTCAGGAAGATACTTTACTTACTATCACCAATTTATTACAAGAGATACAAATGAACAGCCAGATGAAGAGGTACATAGAGTGAGATCTGGAAGGGTCCTGAGCACAGGAGCTTCTGTCCATATGGAGTTGGGGTACACCACCCTCTTGGCACCAATTGAGTGTTCAACTCAGAAGCTCTCCAAACCGTGAAATTTAGGAGATTTTGTTGATTATATAGCCCACTGATGATTAAACTCAATCTCCAGCCCCTCTCCACTTCCCAGGGGATGAGGCTGAAAGTTCCAACCCTCTAATCATGCCTTGGTCTTTCTGGGGACCACCCTCTATCCTGAAGCTGTCTGTGGACCCCCAGCCACCAATAATCTCATTGGCATATCAAAGCTACTCTTGTCACTCCAAGGATTTTAGGAGCTGTGTGCCAGAAACCTGGAACAAAAACCAGCTGTTTCCCATTGTACCATAATGAGTCTAAGGAGGTAGCCACTCCGTTCCTAGGCTACTATAGGTTTGTTAACAAACGGAATACTGAATTTTATGAGCTACTCTTTCAATATCAATTTAGGCTTTTCTCTTCTAACCTATTAATTTATTTTATTGGCTACTGTTGGCTGCCATCCTGACATCCATGCCCCTTTTGTTAAGAAAATCCCTATTTTATTTAGACAGTCATCCATCTAGGAACTTGACCTTAACCTTAGTTCAGTAGGAGATGCAGATTAGTCCTACCAATCAGGGTAGTTCCATTGCCGTTTTCAGTTTCATTGCTATGTTCCAGGCATGAACATTTGATGCAGCTCTGCTCTGTTAAGGGTGAGGGCAAGTCTGCCAAGCAGCTTCTGGGAAATGGTTGAGTCCTTGATCTCCAATCCTGGAGGTCTCAGTTGTAAACTCATTCATGTCTAACGCCCTCTTCCTACCTTTCTCCTACCCATGTGGAGTTGTATACCATTCTTTTTAGGCTGGCACTGCAGGTAGACTAGACTGAAGGGCCAAGACTGGGATAAAGCATTGTCAGGATTAGACATGGGGGTGGTAGGTATCCTTGTTTACTGTGTTTACCAGTTGGCCAGAGAATGAGTCAGAGATGAGCTTTCTGGGTATGGAGGATTCAAGAGAGCAAGAGAGTCTTTGAGAAGAATTTGCTGCCTTGCAGGGTGAAGCAAAATTCAAATTGACTTCATGCTGTTGGTGTCCTCAGAGTGTGAGTTTCTTTTTTTTTTTTTTT